GGACTAATAAATTTTTTATGCATATAAGCGGTATAAATATCTCAAAATTGTATAGGTTCTAATGATATAAATCAATAATGAATAAAAACTTGATAAAAAGTCTCTGACAAGAAGAAGCTCGGACGTTCGAAATTTAAAAAAATTTAAAACTTATGGTACGTATCACCCAGACTTTACTTTGGTCAAACAGTAAGATGCGCTTCTCAGCCAGCATTCATTCAGTCATTGTCGAGAAAATCGTCTTTGAAAAATTCCGAGCAAAATATGTATACTGAACGTTGAGCAAGTTTGAATGAGTCCCATGGTGCAACGGTTAGCGCTCTTGTCTAATAACTGCTAAAGATCTTATAATCAGAATTTGGCGAAAGCGGACACAACTTCTGATTAGTTCTCCACCTTAGTCCACTATTCTTTGGATAGCTTCGTACATTGTTGGAAAACGAGTGCGAAGAAAAGAAGAAAGAGATAGATAGCAAGATGAGTAAAACCTGTGTTAAAGAGGTTAGAAATCATTTCGAGATTTCGGACAAAGAGAAAATTAACAAATTACAATTGCACACTTCGGCCAATTGATCAACTCAATTAATTTCTTCAAATATTGTTGTCACGTTTTGTCTGTCACGTATTCTAACACTTTTTGCGCATGTGTTCATATGAGAAAACAATATTCGTTATCTCTCTATCCGCCATTTTTGGTCCACATTTGCCAAACTCTGATTATAGGATCTCTAGTAACCGTTGGATCGCTGGTTCGAGTCTGCTGGCCCTCCCCCCTCCTTTTTATTTTAATATTTGTTATTTCTATGTAAAATCAATTAAATTTATAGTAATCACCGGATATTCAATATAAATCTTTTATGAAAAACACACATTTCACTTACAACGTAATAGAAACATGTGATAAATAACATTCAATACGAGGTCGGGCAAACATTAAACATGTTTTTTTTTGTGTTGGGGTTTTTTTTTGTGTGCTCTCGTTACGTTAATTCCATTTTATAATTTAACTTAACATTTTTATGGGTGAGTTTTAACTAGAGACTGCAAAATATAATATCTGGAAAAATAAGCAATGTATGAAAAAATGTTCCAAATAAACTCGATATTTTTAAGGGAGCAATTCTATCCCGCAAAAGTTAGCCGCCTTCCGCTCCTCCCTGGGAGTAGGGCTGGGGGTAACTTTGAAATCTTAAATGGGAACTCTTACTTTTTATTGCAGATTCGGATTCTACGTTCAAAAACACGCCAATTTTGTATAAACCTTTGTTTTTCGTTTCGATTCCTAATAGATGGCGCTGCATTCGGCGAAAATTGGTTAACCTTTGTCTTCTTCGAGGGGAATCCCCATGTTTTATTGCACAATGATCTTACCTTGAAGAAAGCAAATTTTGTCTGAAACATGTTTTTCGAATTATCGTAAATGTCTCGAGAATTTTTTTATCCGTTTTTAGTTTTATCCAGGATTAACGACGTAACAATACAATACAAAAGTGCGGATCAATAAATGCATCGAAATTAAAGGTCATCAGTTTGAGCACTTATTGAATTGAATGGTAAAAGGCAAGAGAATTCATTGAAAACAAGTATCCCGAATATGAGAGGCAAAGGGACTCACAATTGTAAGAAAATTAATAGAATCCGCATATCTTTCTTTGCTCCGAGAGCTCTCGACATTTGACAATCTGTAGTGTTACTTCAAGCGGAAACAAAGCACGCAGTGACACCTCACGCTCATGCACGCGACGCATGAGGCGTCGGCAATAAAATCGCCGAAACATGACCATAAGCACGGCACGAGTTGTTCTCGATTTTCTGAGGGAGATACATCGGATATTTCTAGAGAACGCCGTTACTAGTTTTCCTTTTCTGCATATTGCGCTTTAACGTTTGTAAATCCGATAATCTGTGATATTCGATTGGGTTTCTATTCGATTAAAATAAAGTCAGTGTTCGTGTTTTTCGAAAACGTGACTGTTTATTAAGTAAAGACATCCTGACAATTTTCCTGATTTATATTCCTAAAGAATATTAAAATCTCACAATCTACAAGTGAGATTTAAATTTTAAAATCAAGTCCATTCCTTTCAGCTCAGAAGTGGAATACAACAACTTTTTTTTACATCCACTTTCTTTCTTACATTTCCAGTGGGCTAGAATACATCCACTTTCCTTCTTACATTTCCAGTGGAATACAACAACTTTCTTTTTATACTCTTCCAGAGAATACATCTGTCCTCCACAAATATTTCTTGGAATTTATTTCCTCGAATATTTCCTGACTTTCCTTAAACAGGAGAATTTGTTGTTCAAATATGCGACGCGAGTTTCGCGAGTGGAAAATTTTGCCATGCCATCATTCGTTCCGTCCATCACATTGACACGCGAATAGCGGAGCACGTCTCTCTCTCACTTTGAGTATCTCAACAGAACTCTTCTTCTTAAGTTATAAAAATAGATAGAGCTCAGTTAAAAGAAATGACGATGGAGTAATTACAAAAGGAGGTTTAATATATTTTCAATATATTTTATTCAATATATTTTTTACTGAAAATTGTCATAAATTAAGATAATACAGAAGACATATTAAACTTCATAGAGTAGGAGAATGTTCAGACGCGCTCTGCAAAAGCAGCAGGTTTGTAGAAAACATCACAAAGAATCTCGCCTACTCCGCCCAGCCTTTCGTCAGTTCCAGGGCAGGCATGGCAAGTTTCATCTGATGTGGCTTTGTTAATCACTGCGATAGCCAATTGCAGCCAATTCTATTGCAGCAGATGCAGCAACAGATCTTGGAGAGCCAACAAGCGCAGCAGGCAGTGCTTCAGGAAATGCTTCTAGCCCTCACGGCAAGAAACGTGACACCTTAGCTGACGCAATTGAAGCAGTCCTTATCGGTGCAGGAGTCGATCCCTCGTAGCCATAGCTCCTTGCAACCGTTATAACGAAGTTCTCTCTTGTCGATGTCTTCTTTACACGCAATTGCTCATTGCTCACCTCGCAGATACCCGAATTTGGAGACAAAGAATCGGAAAACGTCCAACTCTGAGTTCAACAGGTCGATCAGATAGCCCGACTACACAAAGTTCCAGCCGACGTAACGCTCTTAGCAGCTTCTTCAAGGTTAATGAACATAGCTAAGAAGTGGTATGGATCCGGAACCATGATAGAATCTGGATTTCAGAGAAACTATTTTGAAAAGATTTATAAGAAAAATCTTGTATCACGTAACTTTGCAAAAAATTGAAGGAAGAAAATGGAATTCCTTTAAAGAATCGTTCTTAAAATACGCAATGGATAAATTTACGCTCATGCACAATCTCAGTCTATCTCAAGAGAGTTGCATCTCTTAATTAGTGGAATAGGTAGTAGATCTCTCAGAGAAATAGCAGCATCACTAAATTTAGATGCATTCCTGCATGCAAATTGCCTCAGTCTCAGTCGAGCACGATAAGCGCACCGGAGGTGATACCAAATCAACTAAACCAAAGGACGCAGTCCACAAGTCTGGAAATAAAGCAGGAGTCAGTTCAAAGCAGCTCGAGAAGGAAGAATCGTATTTACTGTAAAAGCCCAGGCCACGAGAAGGACAAATGCTTCAAATTACGCCGCAGAGAGCAGCTTGCGCAGCAATCATCTACCACGGCGGTGTCTACAACGACACCCTCGATCCCAGTCGCATCACAATCTACAAGTGAGGTTTAAATTTTAAAATCAAGTCCATTCCTTTCACAATAAACAAGTACCCCGAATGTGAGAGGCAAAGAGACTCACGATAAACAAGCACTCCGAAGGGATTATAATTTCCGTCACGTTTACGTCGTTAATCCTAGGTAAAGTTAGAGAACGGATAAAAATTTATTGTAGACATTTACGATAATTAAAACATATTTTAGACAAAAGTTGCTTTCTTTAACGTAGCATCATTATGCAATAAAATATGAGAATTCCCCTTGAAGAAAACGAAGGTTAACTAATTTTTGCCGAATGTAGCGCCATCTATCAGGGATCGAAAAAAAAGGTTTAGATAAAATTGACGTGTTTTTAGACGTAGAATCTGCAATAAAAAATAGGTTTCCATTTAAGATTTTAAAGTTACCCTCAGCTCCACTCTCGGGGGGAATCGGGAGGCAGCTAACTTTTGCAGGATAGAATTGTTCCCTCAAAAATATTGAGGGTTTATTTGGGTTTTGTTATATTTTATTCATACAATGCTTACTTTTCTAGATATTTTGCAGTCTTTGGTTAAAAAACTCACCCCATATTTTCGAATGTAATCAGAAACTTGCTCAATGTTTAGTGTATATATTTTGCTTGGAATTTTTCAAAGTCGATTTTCTCGACAATGGCTGAGAAGTGTATATTGCTTGGTCAAAGTAATGTTTGGGTTATACACTTCACATACCATAAGTTTCAAATTTTTTTATATTCCAAATCTCTTCTTGAGAGCCGACGCAAGTTATTGTTACAAATAAGAACTTCTTATTATCTGATACAAATATTAGTATATAGTTTAAGATCCTCTTCAGTAATATAAATATATTTCGGATGAAAATGTTTTCAATATTCTATTCAATATTATATTTCAATCATATAGCGCAGTAATATTGACTAGTAGCACTTCGAGTAGACCGGATTTGTATTAATTGTCATTTCTGGTGTCTGGTCTTTTTATTGTTAGAAAATTTTTTATTAATTTATGAATTATCTATAAACTAAGTTTGTACATAATACTTGTGTGTTCTGATAACCAATTCATGTCTTATAAGAAGCAAGATTAAGGCTGCAAACATAAGCTTTAAGAAATGGATCAATTACAGTTAAATCCGAGAAGAATAATCGACTAATTAATCAATTTTTGAAGCTTTATGGCTTACTACACCTATTGTGTTAGGGGGGGGGGGGATCATGTACACTCCATATAACAAATCGAGAAAAATTTTTTGAGAAAAGCAATTCAAATTTAATATCTCATAATAATTTTTATTTATAATTATTTATAGGTCTCAGTGGTTTAACTACGACATCAGTACAGGGTAGTATCGTACACGGTACACCGGCACAACCACCGGCCACACCTTTAGATTTGAGTCCACTTAGGCATCATAGATCACCTGCAACTACTCCTGTGAGTTACTCTCCCAGCAATAGCCCAGCATTGGATATGATACAAGAAGAACATCCTGTAGAAATATCAAGGGTATGTAACATTCTTTGTTATATTTTTAAAAATTCTTGAAAAGTTGGTGGTTGTAAAATACATAATGTTTTATATAAAAATTCTAATATAAAATATTGATATTTTGATCTGTGCTTTGTGCATTTTTGTTTACAGAATTGGATATGTATATAGATTTACATTGAAATATTTAAGCACTAAGATCTGCTTTGACTGAAAATAGAATTATTTCTCTTAATTGATTTTAATATATAAAACATAAAATCTCATAAACCATTCACAGTTTGGTAATCTTACCCTAATACAGTGATCGGATTTAATTGCAACTTGGCCTAATTTTTATATTGATGCCCTCTGACAGTTGCAAAAAACCCACGCAGCACACTTTATTCAAGGGATATCCTAGAAATATCATTTTGAGATTTCGCATTAATCTCATCGGGGATAATCTCGGACATCTGGTGGGCATCCAGCAGATACACTAATGTCCGCCTCAATGTTATCCTACGGATATTTTAGACGAAGTTCAGAGGATATTCAAGAACTCCAGAAATATTGTAAGATATATAATGCTTTGAGATGTGACATATACATCTTGAATAATTATTATTGTGTATTATACTATTATATTAGACGCATGATTCATGCGAGTACATTCATATAGAAGTTTAAATATTTGAAGACATGGTTTAAATATTTGAAAACATGGTAGTGGCTCGATGCTGAGACACTCGCAACGACATTGTAGGATGAGACTAGCCGTATTGAAGATTCCTTTATTACGCAAGCCGACGAGTTGCGAGGGATCGAGATTATCGAATCTTAATAACGGCTAAGCTGATCAAGTTTTATGTATACTCAATGAGTATAAGAAACGTGGAGGAATTAAACGAGGGCATATATGCTTTATATGCTTGTATATACATATACGCGAGAAATATTATCGGTAATTATTGATAAAAAATATATATACTAATACATATCAATCGATGCGTTTTTTTTTTGTGAAACAAATAATTTAGTAGAAAAAAATCTCACTCGGTTATATTACAAGAAGTTATTAAATGTTTAAGATTAGTACGTGTGTGTAAGATTAAAAAAATCTGTTATATCAAGGAATCGAATCCGTCCCTCGCTCGTCATATTAATATAATTTCTAATTAAAAAGAAACACTGAAAAGTTAAATATTAAATTGCATTGTGATAAAAAAACGAATAAAAGTTTATTATTAACATACGGACTTCTCTTTTAATGCATGATATACCTTACTTTGCGTAAAGTCTATTAATTAAGATTTTTCAGCGAAGTTTTCTTGATTACTTCATGATTTTATTGATAAAATTAAACTCATTTGACGTGTTTTTGAAACATGAAACGATTGAATCTGATAACAAAACTACCGCCTTGTCCTGTGAGCCGAGATATTAATCGTTAAAGTTTACAATTCAAGTTAGGAAATCTGTCACAGCCACACAATACTGTGATGAGAGAATACGCTGTGATCACATTGGCTGCGTTTAGCACAAAAAGCATCTTTGCAACTGTTGTAAGATTTTTCTATAATTGGTTTATATATGTAGATCCATAAGGAACCAAAATTGTATTGAAGAATTTTATAACAGTTGCAAAGCTGCTTTCTCTCTTGAACGCAGCCATTTTCATATTGTACGTTGACATACTCATGCATTTTAGGTACATGTCGTTGTGATAGAGAGAAAGGGTATAACGGAATAAGCATGTGAAATCTGTCCCTGCACCAATTGAGCTCAAATTAATGTCGGTAGTTGGCACCCATGAGATGTAAAACTTCTTCAAAAATTAATCTTGAAATTGCATTTTTGTGGGAGTTATGGAGGGGGAAAGCGAAATAAAAAAAGTGATTTTTTTCGAAAATGGCCGGACCAATTTTAATTAAAAAAATATACGTTGTAGACATTGAAGAGGTAACTTCAAAAATTTTTTGTGATTTTTGTGACGAATAGAAAATCAGTGAAAAAATTTGTTTATGAATTTTTTTGGTGATATATTTTAGTGATTTCGTATTTTCGTGAAAACATTTCGGAATTTTCTACTTTAACATATAATTTTTTCAAATCGATCGAAGTGATGGAACATAATTAAAAATAACAATCATTCGTATAACGCCTCGCTACGTCGCGCCGGTTGGACGATCGCGGTTGTGACACGCTGCAGTGCATGGCGGTCGTTGCCGTGGAACTACTATTATATCGATATTTGCCCGATCATCAACTGTTATAGTATTTCGTAATATTCGTCGATGTTTCGACTCACCTGTATTTTAATTTACTTAAGTCTTTCCTACTAAAGCCGAATTGAGATAGCATAGTAAAAGAAGGGTGAAATATTTGATACAAAAGGTGACATTTAAATTCAGATATAATTCAGATATAGTGAATATATTCAATTTCATCAATTTTCTAATGAATTTATTTATTAGTAGCAATAATCCAGTTTTGTAAGCTGTAACCAGTAATATATTGGTACGTCTCATAATTATAAGTTTTATGTAATAATACTAACATCTTAACATGGAATTTAATTTCGGCTTTAATACAGAGATATTTTCAAGTGAGATGAATGAAAAATGTAAAAATTATAACATATTTTTGAAGAAAGCTATTGGCAGAAAGAAAATTATAAATAATCTTGACATAATTCATATTTTTTTGGCTTCTCAAGAGTATTTATAATTTTCTTTCTGCTAATAGCTTTCTTCAAAAATATGTTACAGTTTTTGCATTTTTTATTCCTCTTACTTGGAATAGACATCTCTGTATTAAAGCTGAGATTAAATTCAATGTTAAGATTTTAGATGTTATTATATATATATTATTACATAAAAATTATAAGTATGAAACATACCAATATACTAGTTACGGTTTACAAAACTGGATTACTGCTATTGATAAATGAATTTATTAGGAAATTGATGAAATTGAATATATTTCACTATATCTGAATTTGGATGTCACTTTTTGTATCAAATATTTCAACTTTCTTTTACCATGCTATCTCAATTTGACTTTAGCAGGAAAGATCTAGGTAAATTAAAATAGGGGTAAGGTTGAAACAACGACGAATATTTCAAAACTTATAACAGTTGTTGATCGGGCAAATATCGATATAATGGTTAGTATGTAAGTTCCACGGCAACGACCACCATGCGTCGCAACGCGCCGCAACCGCGGGCGTCCAACCGGCGCGACATAGTGCGATGTTACACGAATGATTGTTATTTTTAATTGTTCTATCATTTCGATCAATTTGAAAAAATTATATGTTTAAGTAGAGAATCCCGAAATGTTTTCGTAAAAATATAAAGGTGATCATTAGGACATATCATAAAAAAAAATTCATAAAAAATTCAAAAATTTTTTAGCGGTTTTTTTATTTCTCACAAAACATTTCGTCACAAACAATTTTGTTGAAGTTCGTCTACAATGTATATTTTTTTTTTATTAGAATCGATCCGGCCATTTTTGCGAAAAAATCTATTTTTTTTATTTCGCTGTTCTTCTACAAGAATGCAATTTCAAAATTAATTTTTGGGGAAGTTTTACATCTCATGAGTCAACTACTGATATCAATTTGAGCTCAATTGGTGCAGGGGTAGATTTTATATGCTTATTCTGTTATATCCTTTGAACTCAATATGCGTGCTTTTCAAGGATGAGAGAGGGGGAAGGGAAAGAGGGAGGGTGGGAGAGAGGAGGAGAGAGAGAGGAGGAGAGGGAGAGGAGGAGGGGAAGAGAGGGATGGGGCGGACGGAATCCACAGAAATCACAAAGTATATGGCCTATATAAAGTTAGTCCCCTCACTTTTAGAATTAACATATTTTGAGAATTGTATTAGGTTTAAGTTACATTGTGCCCGAATATTAATATCGTAAGTTGTATCGAGAGAATAATTATTGCTTAAATGAATTTACCATTGTTATAATATCATTACGTGCTTAGAATCACCAGCTGTGTTCTTCATATGATCGAACAGCTGTCTGTGAGCAATTTTTGTTATGCCTTGGAAATTATTCATTTGGAATTTTCAACATTTTTCGGCAAAACCAATGGATACTGACTTTACTACATTTTCGTGTGTTTTATATTATAACTATTAAACATCTGAGCAAGGCTTAATTCTGCAGCCGAAACATGTTATGTGAACTGATATCATTAGTTATTCATCCGTAAGAACATATACAAATTTTTAATTTTATACAAATGTATAATTATATGGTCGTAAGTAATATATTAGCAGGGTTGCCACAGACCTGGAAAACCGAGAAAAGTCAGAGGAAAATGTAAAAAAGGGAATTTTGAAATTTGCTCACAATTTTCTTAAATTGCTTCTATTTCAGATAATTGTTATAATTTTTTAATATTATATATCTGACGTTTATAATGAAATACATACAAAACTTGTACACTTTAAATGATTTTATAAAATAAAATAATTAAAATTATTATAAACGATTTTATAATTTTAATAGAATAATTAAAATTTATATTTTATTCAGTATTTTTATTTGATCGCTCTTTTTCGTAACTGCATTCTTTTTTCTAATATTAATTTATTTTTTGTTGGCTTGAATTTGCACCTAAAATTTTAGTATGGCTATTAAGCCTTTTTTGCGTTGTTTTTGATAATATAGGCTAGTTTTCCTACAACTCTTGACTTTAAATGTGTTAAAATTTATATATTTTATATTGAAAAATTTTTTCCATTTTTATCTGGAAAACCTGGAAAAGTCAGGGAATTTAAAAATTTATTTTGTGTGGCAACTTTGGTTAAATTTTTATATAAAACTTTTCTATCTTGACTCTCATTTGTTTTTTAAATTCTCTATTTGTTATTATTTTATACTGAGAGAATCTTGTACTTTTATTAATTTATTAATATCATAATTTGAAAAATAACGTAAAAAAATTAAAAAAAAAAAAGATTTTTTTGTCAGCTTCACTTTGCATTTTTTTTCCAATTTTTTAAATTGTGCTAAGTTGCGTTAACATTGTGTTAAAGAAAAATTACTTCCAAATAATGATAACAACAAAAGCTATGATAAAAATAATTTTTGACAAATGTGAATACGACTACCTAGATAACAAGTTTCCAGCAAATTGCTATTAATTTGATAAAAATTGCATCGCTTGAGTTGCTATTTTTTTAAGGAATTTAGTTTCCGATTTTGCTTATGATATTGGCGGCAATGTATATCATAAACGATTGTGCGCAACTGGAAGGAAACAATTTCTCTCTTCTGCTTTTATAGATTAAGACAATCACTGCAGTATGATGAAAATTATTTCCACATAAAACGAATTTGCTAGCAATCTGACAGCAATATGAATGAAACTGTTGCAGTAAATAAAGTTAATCCCAAACAATGCTTGACAGGTTACTATAATAAATAAAATTTATTAGACTTCTATATATACTACTAGACTATTAACTCTTTTGAAAAAGTGGGTCCAATTTCTATACGCATGTGCCAGGTATTACACTGCGTAACCACGTTTGCACATGCGCACACATATTTTGACAGGTTAACCTAACCACAGCAGTGTCCCGCGCCATGCTTAGCGCCATTACGGTCTCCAGATTAATACCAGTATTAAAACTATTAAATATTTGTTTTCAGTCGAGCGTTTAAAGTAAAAAATAAAAATTATTTTATTTCTTTAAATAGAAATATAAGAGCAATTTAAGTATACAGGGTTGGCCATATTCGACGGAAAGATGTGGCAACACTGTAACTTTTGACAGAGATGTTAGATCGAGTAACGACGTAGCGCGTTTGAAGCGTCAGTCGAAGGAAATTTGTGCCATGGAATAGTACACGCCACGCGAACGCTCTCAGATTGTTGAAATTTACATTCAACAAAACAAGTCAATTGTTAAAACTCAACGTGCATGGAGAAAAATAAATAAAGGATGATTTTTTGATGCCAATTGTTCATGATAATGGCATGGAGCACTTCTGGTTTCAACAAGATGGCGCTCCACCACACACAGCTCGAGCCACTATCAATTTTTTGAAACAATTGTTCCCTGGACGTTTGATGTCAAAAAATGGTGATTTTGAATGGCCACCGCGTTCACCAGATTTAACGGCTCCAGACTTCTTTCTGTGGGGCTATTTGAAATCAAAGGTTTATGTCAACAAGCCAAGGACCCTAGACGAACTTAAGACCAACATCCGACAGGAAATAGCCGCCATATCGGCCGAAACATTGTTCAAAACGATGGAAAACGCTGCAAAACGGGCACTACTCGCCATGCAGGCTCAAGGCGATCATTTAAGAGATATCATATTCAACAAATAATGTACACAAATCTCCTTGAACCATATTAAATGGCTTTTACAATGAAAAGCAAAAAATGTGTTTTTTT